GTGTGTGTGTGTGTGTGTGTGTGTGTGTGTGTGTGTGTGTGTGTGTGTGTATGTGTGTGTGTGTGTGTGTGTGTGTGTGTGTGTGTGTATATATATATATATATATATATATATATATATATATATATATATATATATATATATATATATATATATATATATATATATAGACATCAGAATTTATGAGTTTATTGATAAATGAAGGCATTTACTGGTGAAAGTGACCCATTGCATTTGCATGTGCATCATTTTAGAAATACTGTTTAACCACATTTTATATGAATTTTTCATAAGTGCTGCCTCAATTAAGCGGTTAACGCTCTGTGATTGGTCGATTTTTTTCAAGCTAACGCTGATTTGTTGCTCGAGCCGTTCTTTTAGGGAATAAAGCCCCACAATAACTAGTGATAGTAAATACCTACGTTCTCGTTGTTTAGCGTTTGAAAATGGGTCGTTAGTTCCCGTAACTGTTACATGAGACAGCGGTTATGAGAGTTTAGTAAATTACTATTCTCTCGTCGATAGATATACATTGTTACGGTCGATAGGTTTTGAGGTTTATGGTCGATATATTTTGAGGTTTATGGTCGATAGATTTTGAGGTTTGTGGTCGATAGATTTTGAGGTTTATGGTCGATAGATTTTGTGGTTTATGGTCGATAGATTTTGAGGTATGTGGTCGATAGATTTTGAGGTTTATGGTCGACAGATTTTGAGGTTTATAGTCGACAGATTTTGAGGTTTATGGTCGATAGATTTTGAGGTTTGTGGTCGATAGATTTTGAGGTTTATGGTCGATAGGTTTTGAGGTTAATGGTCGATAAATTTTGAGGTTTATGGTCGATAGATTTTGAGGTTTATGGTCGATAGATTTTGAGGTTTGTGGTCGACAGATTTTGAGGTTTATGGTCGATAGGTTTTGAGGTTTATGGTCGATAGGTTTTGAGGTTTATGGTCGATAGATTTTGAGGTTTATGGTCGATAGATTTTGAGGTTTATGGTCGATAGATTTTGAGGTTTATGGTCGATAGATTTTGAGGTTTGTGGTCGATAGATTTTGAGGTTTGTGGTCGATAGATTTTGAGGTTTATGGTCGATAGATTTTGAGGTTTATTGTCGTAGATTTTGAGGTTTATGATCGATAGATTTTGAGGTTTATGGTCGATAGATTTTGAGGCTTATGGTCGATGGATTTTGAAGTTTATGGTCGATAGATTTTAGTTTTATAGTTGACAGATTTTGAGGTTTATAGTGTGTGTGTGTGTAATATATAGATACATAGATAGATAAGTAGATAGATATGTATACACACATGCATGGCTGCCCTCTCGAAGGTGAGAAGACCTGACAGCGGCTCGATCAGCATGGGTGGGTGCACCTACTACTCGACGGGGCGTGGCGATGGTCAGCATCTCCAGTTAGTAGCCATAGCCAGTCAACTTTAACCGTCGGTAGTAGAGGCAACATCAGCTGTCGAGCGTCCCCGGAGAGACATTCGCATCGTACTGGGCGACTTCAAAGCGGTATCCGGTTGCGGTCAAGTTGGCTACGAAATATTTGTCGGTCTCCATGGCTCAGGAAGTGATATCAAGTAGCGAAAACATTTTTGTCAGCACTCGCTGGGGGATCTTCCAGAAGTGCCGAGTTCTGTGATACTGGCCATAGGCTGGTTGTGGCTATCCTAAGGATCCACTTCAAAACTCCTTATCCTTCCAGTGACCAGTGGGTATGGGACAGGCTTACACAAAACGTGCTTATGTGCATGCCCTGTAGTAAGAGGGTATGCACTCAAGCACCAGAAGGCCGCATGGGATCCATATGTTTAACACATGGCTCCGTATCAGTTAATAACCATTGCCTCAGCAAGGGCCTAGATGACGATTACATCTGACTTCGTCTGACCCTTCATTTCGCTTACAGAAGTCACCGTGCCCATGTTCCCACCCTCCCTACCCTCTTCAGGGCTGGCTAGTCAGGCACTTGACACCTTCGCTCAGCGCTTGTCCCAAGACATCGTATCATCTTCAGTTAATGTGTTGAACTCTTCTCCAAATTAAAGAGCTAAGCCGTCTAACCACTATCACTGCCTGACCAGTTACACACACACACACGCACACACACAAATATATCTCATATACATGTATAGCTAAATAGATAGATATAAAATTATATAGCTATGCATATAGTTATATGGATATGAAGACTATGAAGAAATGAGTTTTACAACACCTTATTTTGCATAAATATATGAATTTATATTGACTAACTTGTACACAGTATTTTTAGCAAATATGGGTCAAAATCATAATGTGTCTATAGATTACCTACATATAGTATAAGGCAAACAGTTGCCTTTTATTCTATCAGTGTCTTGTATCTCACAAAACTTTACTATCAGTCATTTCATCTTTATCATCCTATTTATTTTATCGTAAGTTGAAGCAGAAATGTCTAGAGTATAACCAGTTTTAAAATGAAATTGGATGATATTATTGTAATTTAAGTTTCCACCTGGGTTTCACAAGGTTACAATTTGTACAAAGGAAATTATCTTTCATGAGCTAAAAAGAGGACCTTGTTTTTGAATTCATCTTTTGGTTTGAAGCTGGACTGTGCAACCCAGTTAACATCAAAGGCAGTGCATGTTCCAGAGGGCATTCCATTTTCATGGACCTCTTCTAATATAATTTTTTATCACAATGATTATTTTTATCAACATGATTATTTAACTTTAAGATAATCATTATTAATATCATGATGACAGTTGTCCCTTTCATTTCTATTACTGTTAAAATAGTAAACGTAATATTTTAGTCCTCAATAGCATTGCCATACTGACATTATATTGGAAAGTAGCTCCCTGTTCAGAAATAATTATTGTCATTCCTTAAATTATGGTATAAAGCAGTTTCAAAATAATCTTAGGGTTTTCATCTTCAGAAAACTGTCTATCTACCATTTAATAAATCCTTCAATCAAATAACACCCTATGTTATTGAGTGTACACTGAACATTCTAGAATTTAATAAAAAGTACAATTCAAATATTATGTATGCTATATAAATTTGCATATCAGATGAGAAGATATTGCTTTTGCCAGGTCAAATCCACAATCATTTTATAGCTCTCCTCTTTCAGTATCCATGAATTCAGCTGCTTCATTAACGGAAATTCTATTATCAGCTATTTGATAGATATGAAGTCCATATGTTGTACTCCAGAGTTACCCTAAAGAAACTCCATGTGGTATAATATTTTGTACTTACAAACATATATGGTTATAAAAGAATATACTGTATGTAGTTTTTTAAATACATGTATAATACTAATCTGACACTGTTAAATAAAGTATACTGTATCGTAAAGTGCTCCAGTAAGACATACACTCAACTAGGCTTCTCTCCAGTTACATAACAATATGCCAGTATATATAGGTCTTCCAGTGCATAGGGCTACCTATAAAATTCTGACATGTAAGATTATTCAAGGTTCATGCCAATATTCTTTGGATAAGACAACACCCCCAAAAAAAAAAAAGAAACCACTTCCAAGCCTACTGTATGGAAAGAAAAAGCACATCAGTACCTGTATCTCATAAACAATTCTAATTTTTCTTGCAAAACACTTTAGTCGCAAGTGAGTTTTAACACAAACCAGCCTACCATAACCTTAACCCATTGCCGCCGGGGAAAATTAACAGAAAATGAGGGAAATACAGTACTCATTTTTTATATTTTTGTGAAATATCTCTGTCCATAGATGGCTCTGCTAGTCCTGATTTCACCTTTCCTTGAATTGGCGGGAAAAAACGTATTTTTACTAGTGCTATAAATATAGATGGTGTTATTTTTAACAGCAAATTAGGATAACGTTACATATTTTCGTAAATCGATGAAAAAGGTGAACAGGCGAGACAGGCAGTACTGTAATTGGCTCATTGGATACTTAGTACAAGTGTAGCCATCTATGAGTAAAAACAATCAAACAAATCGACTCACAGTGGGCATGGCATGTACGTAAATGCCATCCCCGGCGGCAATGGGTTAACAAACCTAACCTACCCCATGGGTTAAGTCATTGCTATCATAATCTATACTTTACAGTTTTTCAGTAGGAAATAACTGTAGGGAGCAGCAAGAGTTATGAGAATTGTGTATAGCAGGTGTTAGTCATGCAGTTACACTTTTTTACCCCTCACTCGGATAAACAGGCGGTTAACATTTAATATCTGACATACAAGTCAACCCCTAGTTTTGGACAGAGATTTTTGGCTTCAGATGTTGACTTATAGATTGTCATACCTCCAACTCACCCAGAAATAGGAAGTTCAAATCCCTCCTCATATATTTCAGATACTGGAGTGAATAAAAATATTGAACATTTAGAAATGAAAATAACTATAAAACTACAAACTGAAGGTAATGAAAAAAAAAATCTGTAAATATTTTCCACTGTTAGATAATTAAAAATCAAAAGCTTACTGTTCCACTTGATACAGCCTTTACATTTTTTTTCTTTCTTTCTTTCTTTTCCTCTTTTTTTTCAAGTATTGGTATCAGATTTAGAGACTTTGATTTTTCCTAAACTTTAATATAAATTTCATATAAAGCATATCATTAAGAAGTAAATTCCTTCCATTTTATTTAATATTCACAATCTACTTATCTACTTATACAAAAAAATGTAACTCTGGCAATGCTTTGAGGATACATTTTAATTTTTTTCTGCATTCATTAGTAACTTCTTATTAACATCATTGTTTGTTGCTGTCTATACTCAAAATACTGATCTGCAATTGAAACATAAAGAATCCATATCTTTCACAGTTCAGTATCTTTCTCTGAATATTTTCTTGAGAATTGAAAAGTTCTAAATATATATATGTATGACACTCATTAATGCAATTCTCTGAGGTATCTTTGTCCTGTGTACAACAGATCCTAGTATCAAGCTATGTCTACTGTTATATATAATCCATGTGGTATTAAAACTCCTAAATATGACAACATTGATTGACTTTATTCAAAGCCTTTTGTGTGTGCACAGAACTGGAAAAAAGAAAGTTCCAGGCTCTTTAATAAAGAAATGTAAAACATGGTATGTAAATGAAACTTGGAATCATATGTTCTTTGTATCATACAGACCTGAGTACTACAGTGCTGAATAATGTATGCTAACATGACGTAATAAAGTGAAATAACGGTAATAATCAAATATAAAAGAATAATAGTAGAACTACTTTTGCTGTCACTCACTGTGGATACCTGATGGTAACATCTGCAATTATCACCCTTTCAGGTTAAACTGTTCACCAAAAGTTGCAATATTTTATAAACATATTTCTTAAAGGTACTTTGTTGTTTCTTCTTGTGCTTTTCATTCCTATTTCTCAACATGGCACTCAGCACAAAAAGTCACTTTCTGTAATTTAACATGTTATTCACTGATTTGCATTCTTTCAAGAGAGGTTGACTGGGTGATTCTAGCCTGAATCAGACTATACCATCTTAGAGACTAGTTCTTCAACATGGTATAATGAACATATTTTTGATGTGGAGTGGTGTTTATCTGAACAAGTGCCTTTAATATAGGCTTTTCATTCTCTCCTCTAATATATGAGCAAGAAAAATTAGGATACATATGACTAAATCTAAAAAAATAAATAAATAAATAAAAAATAAAATAAACTTTTAACAGCACTTACAGATTCTGGTAACCTGTTCATGAAAGTAAAAAATAACCTAATGGACCCAGGTGACATAAATGTCATGTCACGAAAAAATTTGGCCGAAGACCGGGTGATGGGAATATCCCCTTATGGAAAAAACTGACAGAGGGCTGAGGTGATGGGAAAGAACTGTCATGGAAAATTGGTGTAAGACCAGAGTGACAGGAATGACATATCACATTATCTTTATCAATTAACAAGGGTGGAATGTACCATCCATGAGCCATGGCTGAAAGAACACTGGCCACAGGAGGACACTATTTCCATGCTCAGGGTCCTATTCCTGAGTTAAAAACAAAAACTAACCTAATGGAAACTTCAAGCAAAATAGTAAATGAATTAAATACATCCTCTATATCTCCTTTTCTGACCACAAAATATAGAATGCAAATATAGTGGGGGGGTGGGGAACTCACATTATCTTACAATTCATAGTATTCAGAAAAGGCACCAGCAATTTTCCTCAGCATACCGAAAACTCTCATCATCTCCGACTGAACTTGTAGATGTGGATGTCCTCACACCTAAAGAGTTCATGCTGTTCTTCCAAGGCAATTTTCTCGTTGCAAAAGTGCTCTCCCATCAACTCAAAAAACTTCTTCTGCAGCTGTGGCTTATTTCCAGTGGTTCGCTCTTCATAGCTGAGGAGGACTATTGTATCTGGGCTGCATATCTTGTGTAGAGTCGACACCAGAGGTTCAAGAGACTAAGAAAGCAATAACAAACAGATAATTAAATATAATTGTCTGATGAGTAACTGCACATATAATACATCAAACAAAACAAAATTATAAATCAACAATGAAACCAAGAATACAAAGGACAGTTAAAAAAAAAGAAAAGAGAGGAAATCCTACCTGCTCATAGTAGATGCAATCAGCCACGAGCACAACATCTGGAATGGGAAACTGCCTCATCTGTTGCTCATTGCCCCAGCTGAGCTCCCTTGCCTCCACTGGACACCCTAAACGTTCTTGATTTTCCATGATGTTTTTCTCCATGAGGCCAAGAAACTCTGGCAGATCCGTGATGGTGACTTTTGAAGCTCTGGAATAAAAGTTAGACAGGTGAAATACAACATAACGTGAAAATACTATAAGTAAAATGTGAAGAAAATATTAACAAGCCATACAAGAGAGCCAATATTACTCGCAGGTGGACCAGTTATTGAGGTTCAAATTACGCAGCATATGTCACTTATAAATATACATGCATACATATTCTCTCTTATCACATTAAAATAAACAAGATATCACCAAAATAAGTCAACCTAATTGCCAAGTGTCTAAAACCAGAATTAATGTTTAACAGTGCAATATTGCTAACAATTACAACAAAACAATCAAATGGAGTAAACTTTAAGAAAGTCTAAAATATCTATTCCTACAGCTATTCAGTACAGCTATAAAAACTCAAGTCAAAATTTTTTTATACCAACAAGCCCACTGTTTCATCATTTCAGATTAACCCAATTGCCGCAGATGGTAAGAATATATGCCATACCCACTGTAATGGAAGTTCATTTATTTTATTTACATATAGATGACTCTACAAGTGCTTAGTCTACATGGGTCAGTTATTAGTCCTACCTATCTCACCTCTTTACCCTTTTCCTTGATTTTTGTATTACTTGTATTACTTCACTGTCATAAAGATTCCCAAGATTTTAATGACAATCTAATATCAGTGAGAATACTAACAGTATCAATAAAAATTGTATTAAAAAGTAAAACACATTTATATGCATGTATAAATGTATGTCCATATAAATA